CACACTCCCTATATTCCCTCGCCCTGTCTATTCTCCTCATAGTACCACACCTCCTCATTCTCTCATCCCACCACACTTCATCTTCTCCGCCCATCCTCATCTCCTCTCTCTTCCCCTGTTTCTCTCATAAAACCACACTCCCCCTCTCATAGTACCACACTCCTCATCTCTCACCCCAACAACACACCTATCTCCCTCGTCTCTGTATTGGCCACCCTTCACCACACTCTCTCCTCAATCATCTCTACTTCACACCCTTATTCATTCACCCTACCACACTCTCATCTCTCACCCTACTCACACTCTCATTCCTCTCGCCCTGTCATTCTCTCTCATAGTACCACACCTCATTCTCTCTCATAGTACCACACTTTCTCCTTACATAGTACCCACTCCCTTATTCTCAATCACCCTACCACACTCCCTCATTCTCTGCCCTGTCATTCTCTCTATAGTACCACACTTTATTCTCTCAATCTCTACTACACTTTACTCTCAATCTCTCATTCCTCTCGCACTCTCATTCTCTCATTCCTACCACACCTCTATTCTTCTCAATCTCTCTATAGTACTCTACACTCCCACCCTACTCTTCTGCTCATTCTCTCAATCCGTACCACACTTTCATTCTCCCTGCCTGGTTCATTCTATCATAGTCACACTCCCTTCATTCTTCTGCCCTGTCATTCTTCTCATAGTACTTCACACTCTCATCCCACCGCCCTGTCATTCTTCTCTGCCTCTGTCATTCTTCATATAGTACCACACCTCCCTATTCCCCACCCTACTCACACCCTTTATTCTCTCATCCTACCGTCCCTCTCATTCTCTCATCCTACTGCCTCTATTCTCTCTATCGTCCTGCCCTCTCATTCTCTTCTCATCCTACCACACTTCTTATTCCTCTCATCCTATCGCCCTTCTCCATTCTCTCATCGTCCCGCCCTCTCATTCTCTCCCCATCCCACTCACACTCCATTTCTCATCCTATCGCCCTCTCATTCTCTCATCCTGTCCCTATTCTCTTCATCCCACCACACCCCATTATTCTTCATCCCATCCTACCTTATTCCTTCCTCTAACGTCCTCCCTTCTATTCTCTCATCCTACCACACTCCCCATTCTCTTCATCCCCACCGCCTCATTTTCTTCATTCACTTTACCACTCTCATTCTCTCATCCCATGCAAACTCTCATTCTCCATCCCACTGTCCTCATTCTCATCCTACTGCCTTCATTCTCTCTATCCCACCGCTCTCCATTCTTCTGTCCTCACCACACTTCCTCATTCTCTCTCATCCTACCGCTCTCTCATTCTCTATTCTTCATCCTACCTGCTCTCATTTTTCTCAATCCTACTCATCCTTCTCATCCTACTCCACCTTCCACCCTCTCATCCTACCGCTCTCTCATCCTCCACATTCTCTTCTCTCATCCTACCGCCACCTCGTTCTCTCATCCACTCATTCTCCCGTCTTCACAATCATCCGTTTCTCTCATCCTACCGCCCTCTCATTCTCTCACACTCTCAACCTCACATTCTTCCGTCCTCTCTCATCCTCTGATCCTTCTCTCAACCTCTCATTATCTCATCCTACCACACTCTCATTCTCTCATCCCACCGCACTCTCTCATTCTCTCATTCTACCACACCTCTCATTCTCTCATCCTACCGCTCTCTCATTCTCTCATCCTCATCCTACCGCCTCATTCTCTCCACTCATTCTACCGTCCTCTCATCCTCCGCCCTCTCATTCTCTTCACTCTCATTCTCTCACACTCTCAACCTCACATTCTTCCGTCCTCTCAATTCTCTGATCCTCTCAACCTCTCATTATCTCATCCTACCACACTCTCATTCTCTCATCCTATCGCCCTCTCATTCTCTCATTCTACCACACTCTCATTTTCTCATCCTACCGCTCTCTCATTCTCTCATCCTACCGCTCTCATTCTCTCAACCTACCACCCTCTCATCCTACCGCCCTCTTATTCTCTCACACTCTCAACCTCACATTCTTCCGTCCTCTCAATTCTCTGATCCTCTCAACCTCTCATCCTACCACACTCTCGTTCTCTCATCCTCTCATTCTCTCGTCATTTTACCTTGGTCGTTCAACCTCATCATCTGACTCCCTATATTCCGATCCCCTCATTAACCCACTCTCTCACCCTTTTACCACCATTCAACATCCTCACCCGCTCATGCCTCAACCGTGTTCCCTTTCCTTCTCATCCATCATTCTCTCTACCTCTCATCGCATCAGCCCTCGTCCTTTCTCCCTTCCCAGTCTCATCTTCTCACTTACCAACCTCTGCCCTTATTTCCTATTCTCCGAACACTTCCTTTCTAGTTTTAGTCCATCATGATGGAGAGGTACATGTATTTATAGTGGATGAATGCGTGAGCATGGTTTTACGCCGCTTTTAGCAATATTCCAGCAATATCACGGTGGGGACACGAGAAATGGACTTCACACATTGTCCCCATCTGGGGAATCGAACCCGGGTCTTCGGCGTGACGAGCGAACGTTTTAACCACGAGGTTACCCCAACGCCCCACATGTATTTATAACCGAGTATCTTTATAACCTGCCTTGTAAAAGATTGTATACATCAACGTTTGTTTGATGGAGGTTAAAATGAACCAGGAAAGACACATTATTCAGGGTAATCTGATATATCTGTATCATATTAATGAGTCAGTCTTTCTAGCCTGGTAACAGCTGTAATCATTTCGTCAGATCTAATAACATATTTGTAGCGAAATGAAATGCCAAAATGTATAACAGCGTAAGATAATGAGGCGTTTTAGCATTACATGAACACAATTTCATTTCAGTAAAGCAGGCGCTTACGAATAAGACAAAGATAGAGGGCGGGAAAATAAGGAAATTCGCCTTGTAGTTCACATGTGTAAATACAGACTTATAAGTCGAGTCACGTGTCACTTGTTTAATGTCGAGCATGTCCATCTCGTCCATACACGCAAACCGGAACAGACCAATGACGTCAACGCTTAATGACGTTAGCGGTGATCGTGTCAGGTCCTGGCGGTTGACGGTTTGACAACCTCGCTATCAAGTCTCGAGACATTTCTCACAAGACCATGACACTACCGATTCTAAATGGCTGGAACTTGTGGACACGACTGGGCGCTAGGCGTTCACCTTGGCATTTATACACACACTGGCGAGTATCATCTCTAAACAGTAAAAACCTGATGTCATCAGAGAACTGGGTTCGTCCCCAGGTTCGAACCTAACGACACTGAACCCGCTGGGCCATAGCAACCTGTCATCATCGGTGGAGTCAACGGTGGAGTCACTCTCCCCACCCACTCTCTCATCAGGGTTTAGCAAAACGTACATTTTTCATTAAATTGTACATACTCTCACGCACTGTTTCATAGAATACGTTTGGTTGTATTTGTGCGATAAAATTCACAACGATGTATATTACATTGCAACAAGAAAAAAAATGTATTTCTGTGGACGCCGGTTTTGTCTAACAGTCCCTTTTAGCAGTGTTTGAGGAAAGACCGTATTGCTACCAGACTTTCATTTACGCTTATTGTGAGAGTTAAAGGACACAGTAATACAAGGGTTCGTCAACCTCGCATTTATAATGGGCCTCGTTGCCTTTTCAAAATGTTTAAGTGTACATGTGCATACTGATGCGGACTTGCTAGTCGTCAACTGCGCCATCGGATATTGCACGTGGAGTTCGTGTACCTATCGAACCTTTACACATGTGCAGTCGTACTTGGACAAAAGAACCTGTGAGCAGTTGGATCGTTCACACGGAAGTGTCTGGCACATGTGCTTTCAAGATATTAACTCCAACTTCCTTCATTTGCTCACAGCTCACATAAACTCACCATCAGCCATCCAACCAGGTGATAATAGGTGACTGATCTACCCCTTCCATCAACCATCTGACCTCCATCCACCACTGTCATCAACCATCTCACTGTCATCCTCCCCTACCATCAACCTCTTGACCTCCATCAACCCCAACGATCAACCTCCTGACCTCCATCATCCCAAACCATCAACCATCTGACCTCCATCCACCCCAATCATCAACCAACAGACCTCCATCTAACCATCAACCACTAACCATTCTTTGTATGGGATAGCCTAGTGGTTAAAGTGTTCGTTTGTAACGCCGAAGACCCAGGTTCGATTCCCCAATTCGTTATACAATTCGTTATATCTACACACGTGTCGGACACTGTAACGTACCCAGCACATGTCTTCTAATATACTCTAACCAAATGTCCTCCATCTGGTTGAGACTTTTCAGTGAACACGCTGCGCCATTATGCCATGCACATTACCAGCACCATTACACATGTTACGTTGACGTCGAGTGCCACTGGATGGTTTGCATTAGAAAACAGAAACAGCATCATACTAGTGTCTGGCGATTATAATGTCTGTCTTGTATTCCTAACATTTGATATTTAAGAATCGGAAACACACCAGGAAATAATGTAAGTTTAATTTTTGCTGCTTAAATAAACATTTCAAGTTTCCAAATATAACACGCCAAGAAACACACAGTCCCGACTACATGTCGAAACGGGCATGGCTGGGTGTGATAAGTAAAACATGGGTGTTTAGAAGTGGAATACGTAAGAAAAGCAAGATGAAGCATACACTCCGAAACGTCGGAGCAAGCATACACTCCGAAACGTCGTGTTGTTCACAATACAAAAGTTGACATCCATAAATCTTGCTTTTGTTACGTATTCCACTTCTAAATGCCCTTCAAATATTTGGGTAAACGCTATGTCCCTTCTTATAGTTGCAGGGGCGTTGGGGTAGCCTAGTGCTTAAAGCGTTCGCTCGTCACGCCGAAGGCCCGGGTTCGATTCCCCACATGGGCACAATGTGTGAATCCCATTTCTCGTGTCTCCCGCCGTGATATTGCTGGAAAATTGCTAATAGCGGCGTAAAACTCAACTCACTCACTCACTCACTCTTACAGTTGCGATCACGGTTTTACTTTTCACCTGATGAAGGAGCAAGCATACACCCCGAAACGTCACAATAAAGAAGTTGACATCCATAAATCTTGCTTTTCTTACGTTTACCCAAAGTCAGTGAGTTTGGTTTACCGCCCTTCGAACTGTATTTCGGCCTTATCACAGCTTAATAGGTGGGGATAACCTACAGATGTATTTTGTGAAATTCACGAGCACAAGTTTCCTGACCATTCTAGACACATAGGGATTCGAACCTACTAAGGTTTCGACAATAACGTTTGTTCTTAAAGTATGGATTTTTACACTGAAACACATCCGGTACGGGCAGTCATTAATTCACAGGCGTTAGGGAATTGACAGTTAAGCACTGGAAAAATGGCTCACACACATACACACACTGTTATCTGTTTACACAACGTTTTGCAAGTCATGCGTTGTCATACTGCTTGCACATTCATTCTGACTTTGAGAAACGGGAGAGTAAGTGTCGTTGAAATATACTCATGCCAATAATGGTTGTCACCTACTTCACTTTTTTTAATTGGAGAGGGGGTGTGGTGTGGGTGTGTGAGGTGTGTGAGGGTTGGGTTGGGGAGGGGGGATATAAAATGTATATGATTCACACACAGCGATATTCAAGAGTAATGTCGGTCATGCCGAGGGCATCGCCCCTACCCTGCGTACGGAGGTTTTACACGGAAGTGTGAAGAATCAATCAAGCATAACATGGATATTAATAGTTGCATAGATTATATAAAATTATGTAGCTCTCATACTTAAGTACCTCTCGAGGAGGCTCAGTAGGTAGTGTGAGTGATATAGCCTTAGGCGACTATTTCGGTAATGTTTTTAAGACGCTGCATCAAGATGTTTAATACTGGACATAAACAGAAAAAATATTATTTCGGGGAAATCTATTTTGTGAACGCTGCGTTAACCCAGGTTATGTCGATGTTAAACATATTACAGAACGACAGGACATGGACGGCAAGTTGAAACAAAATGGTGAGTGAGTGAGGTTAGTTTTACGCGGCTTTTAGCAATATTCCAGCAATATCAACGCCGTTGAACACCAGAAATGGGCTTCACATACAGTACTCATGTGGGGACACGAACCTGGGTCTTCGCAGTGACGAGTGAACGCTTTAACCACTAGGCTACCCCACCGCCCCTGAAACAGTATCAGATAACAAGGTAACACATTTGTCCAAATACACAGCAATATATCTAGTTCGGGAACGGGTACGGCTTCGTTTGAGTCCTGTACAGTCATGGAGCTCATTGCATCTAGATCTATGTCCTTGCACAGAAATACACAAAACGCAGGCAAAGCAGATATTTTGTTTGGCGACATATGCAGCTAGACAGTTATATCAGAGACATCAACAGTAAACACGGTGTTTGTTGTGTGTTTTGTTTTGTCTGGGGTGTTTATCTTTGGCGGTGATTTACAATGGGATGCCTATGTCTATCACATCAGATAGTTCGCGGTGGGCGAACTGGCTAAAGCGCCAGGCTAGTGATCCAGCGAGCTTGAGGTGACGGGATCGAGCCCACCTGTGACCGGGTGTAAAAGCCATGGAGTCAACTTTGTGTGCAGACTCTTTCAGTGTTGTCACAACCCCTAGTATACAGTACACAACCCTGTGCACTTAAAAGAACCCACGAATCCGTTGGTATATGACAGATGGTGGCCACATGAATACGTGCAAACACCTAGCAACGTGCAATAAAATTTGGACAAAGTACTGTGACTATGTGTCCCAGTCCACCCAGCTGTGAATGGGTACCTCGTAAGGATGAGAATGCCACAGTAACTCGGTGCGCCTAGTGGCTGCAAGAGTTGTATGATCCCCAGAGAGTTGAGATTGACAATACGGTGTGCCGTTGAGATTGACATCCAGTGAACGAGGGAAAAATTAAGCGCCTTTGAGCAGCTGAGCTGAGCTGGATATCGGCGCTATACAAATGTTAGTATGTATGTATGTCTATGTTGGGTACTGATAAGTTGATGTTAGCTCGTATAAGGACATAACATCAGGACGATGTTTTAGGGACGTATTGGTGTCTAAAGTTTCAGTAGACAATGGAACACCGCGTGCTTCACGTTTGGCTCAATTGTGAATGACGTTAACTCTCATATGTTCATATATGTTGGGGTACATATTACAAAAACATCAACTCGTAACTCATATTGTAATCTCGATCTGTTTCCAAGGATTCCCGGAATAGTGAAGTATCATAGATAGATAGTCTTTATTTCCTCCACAATTGAAGATTACAAGGGTACAGTTTAAATGGTTAGAACAGGTTTAATGTACAGGTGAAAGACAAGATATTACACAAATAGATGTTGGCATTTATAAATAAAATCAGCAGGCAGGAACATTATTTTGCACCGGATATCAAAATCAATGTCAGCAGCACATTCTGGAAGACCACCAAGTAGAAATGTAATCATAATGTCATCATCGTTTGCCCACAAGTTGACAAAGCAATCTACATCGTGTATATCAATGACACTTTCATACAGTTCATTTCTTTCTTTCATATTCATACGGCAAGATATGAACACATGCTTAATGATATCATGAGCAACAGTACCACAGCAGCATTCTTTTGATTGAAGTCTTCTTGATGCAAGTGAGACAATACGAGACATCTGTTTAAATTTACATAACAGCCACAGTTTATTATGTTCAGCAGATCTGATAGAGACATATCTTGATAGGTCCTTTCGTCTCATCATACGGCTGGTAAGGAGGGACATATCCATGCAGTGCACTTTCTCCAACACAGTGCTAGTCCACTTGGATTTACTGACGTACGGACTTACTACGCACTTGACGTACCAAGATAGAGATGGTAGCGTTGACAGTAGTAGAAACAGTAGCATTGACATAAGTATTAATATCATTGCCTGGAACAAGCGGAGGAGGAGACGAAGGAGCAGCAGCTGAAGTGGTAAGGGGGAGGAGTGGACGAATGAGCAGCAGGGGAACAAGCGGAGGGGAGTGGACGATATCGCCCAGGGGAACAAGCGGAGGAGTGGACGATATCGCCCCTTGGATTATTTGTCTGAGATCATAACCGCTTAGTTGGAAATTTACTGCTGCAAGCCATTCAAGCAATCAACAACGTACAACACCAAAAACACACACCCAAACAAACAAAACAACAACAACAAAAACAAGAAGAATACATCAAACAAAGGTATCATTGACATTCAACCCATGAGTTCAGGTAGCTCCAGGCGTAATTCTGAAACTCAAATAAATATACACATAGTCTCCATGTAATCACAGTAAATCATTCAGTCTCTTTAATAACCTCTCTGTTGTATGATTTAGTTTGGTTGTTAAACTGACTGTGACATAAAACAAGTTCTAAAATGCTTCGGTGAAAGATCAAAGGCGCCGACAGTACTTTATCAGACGATAATGTACACTTTTTCCATTACGTCACAATGTATTGACGTCACTGCGCTATTCTAGTCTGCCCCCTCGTAATCGAACACTTTTCGAAGGATATACTGTCTCAGTTCGACTCACAATTTAACAGTGACACGGCAACGTTCGCAATGTTTACTTTCCCACAATGCATCCGTGGAATGTCATCTAAACTTACGTTGGTAGTAGAAATGCGATGTTCATATTGCCCCATTTGATTTACGTTAATCACAGATGCATATGAAATTAACCCGAACGAAAACCGTCATCAAACTGTTTATGATTTGTTTTTCTGGTAACGTTCGTCATACCGTAGGGGGGCAGACACATCAATAGAACAGCGCGCCAGTGAGCCCTGATCATCCTCGTGCATTAACTATAATACTTCAGGGCGAAAGTGCGCTTTATTACACTTTGCATGGTGGTAGAGCGAACTGTATTTCTTAAACAACATACACGAAACATTTCAAATCCCTGAATGATCGGTAATAATTACAAATGGTTTCTCTTTTATAACAGGAAGATTTATCGTCGGGCTTTATCGTTGCCACTTCTGACTTACCTGTGCTTTGCTTGACTAATGACCCCATGACCTATGACGCAGATGCCCTGTAGTCAACGTCATTACTCTTTGTGACAAACAGTACCTGACAGGTGGTTATGTTACACACCATGGACTTATTTAGCTCTGGTTTAAGACCTGGTATCCATAGTTACGTTTGAGGTTGTTTATACAGTATTACAAACAATAAAATAGATTTGAAATTGGAATTAGTTACAAAGGCAATACATTACTGCATCCATGTCTGAGTATATATCACGCCCAATCGCTAATTCTTATTCGGCCAGAAACTATGCTAAATGTCAAACTAAAGCTTACGTAGATAATTGATGATGGCCAATAAAGCAGCAAACAAGACAGGTTATACAATTGTGTAATTAACAAGGGTATCATATATGTGTGTTCACGTTCGTAGTGTTTTGTTCTAGTGACATTGTATTTACATTTGCGATGGTTTGGTTGAAACAAATTTCAAAATGTATAGTTTCTTTTACCCAGCAGTATATGTAACGAAATTAAATAATCAGCGACACATATCATTGCCTAATATGTAACTTCTGCCCTGTCAACATATTTCGTTTTGAAACTGGAAACGTGAGATTAATTCCAACATCCATTGATGTAGCACACATGTGACTTTCATTGATATTCTTGTAGGTGACACTCAGTGATAAGGCCATATGTGATTGGATTCATTGATAGGACTAAATTGGACACTTATTGGACAAAGCATGTGGGCCTTTTTCGATTGGCGAAGTATGCGATTAAATTTAATTTTTATGAGGTGAAATGTGACACAGAGGAGTCCAAAAATGGCATCCGTTGAATATGACACTCACAAAACATTTTCAACAATTAATAAATGTATTTTTGTGGTTTTGTAAAGGTTTGATCAGATCATTTGTGATGTTCATGAAATAATATATACTATGTACTATGTCGGTCATCAAAAACCAAAACGAAAGCGCTGTTATGTGGTTTACCTCGTTCTTAACGTACAACTGACTT